CAAAGAACTGTGAATACATCTTTGTGGCAGTTGACTATGTCTCCAAGTGGGTTGAAGCCATGCCATGCAAAGCTGCTGATGCAAAGAACTCCAAGAAGATATTTGAAGAGACAATATTTCCACGATTCGGAGTTCCAAGGATGGTGATTAGTGATGGAGGCACTCACTTCACTGACAAGAACTTTCACAAGTACTTGTTAACACATGGGATCCATCACAACATCGCTACTCCATATCACCCTCAGACAAGTGGCCGAGCAGAAACATCGAACAAACAAATCAAGAATATTCTGCAGAAGACGGTCAACAAGATGGGGACTGCATCGAAGGATAGACTACCTAATGTGCTATGGGCCTACAGAACGGCCTATAAAACAACACTTGGAATGTCACCATTGTTGGCGGTCACTAACGATCAAATCCGACCGCAAAATAAAGTCCAAAACGGGAGAAATAAATAATCTTTTGACGGATATGCCTTTACTATTGACCTAGTTCCACTTGTGTTAGAGAAATATGTTTTGCATGACTCATATTCGAATACAAGTGGAAAACAAAACAAAAGGCACAAAATAGAATGCGTAAAGCATAAATGCGCAAAGGGAATAAATGGAAAAGCCCACCTACATGCCAAATTTGGCCGGGGCACCAGCATGGGAGCCATCCAGGCCCAGCCAAGAACCCACTAGAGCAAGATGGGGGCGAATGGGACAGCCCAGGGTGCGCCGGCACCGCCCCCAGCACCACCTAGCCCCACCTCGCTCTGGCGGTTCATTAATGCCATGCAGAGGCGGTTCAGCATGGTTTCCTAATTTATCACCCGCCAAACCGACCTCAAGCATGTATAAGTAGGGGGTAGTGCTCACCATTCAACACACCAACATTTGGAGCCTCTACCTCACTACCCTACTCTTGTACTCTTTTAGCTTTTAGTAGTAGTTTGTGAGCAAGGCAAGAGCTATCAAGGAGGGCTTGGCTCCTTGGAAGAAAGGATCCTTGGTATGAATAATACAATGAGTTCTTCCATAGTCATGCTCTCATACTTACAATATAACAATGCATATGAACTAGAATATAGTTCTCATGTTATAATCATGATATATGAACTAGCATATAGTTTGTGTGTTATGATATTAACATGTAGAATTTTATGCTTAAGCATTCATATAACTTATATGAGTAGAATTAGAGTTAAGTTGAGGTGGTAGTTCATCGTGCTTTCGGATGTGCCCAAATTCTTTACCTGTCGATCCGTAGGGTCGGGGACCCGGGGGAATTTGGGTAGTTTTTGTGTACGCAAGCATGGTGCTTGGGTATGGAGAAACAGGTGAATGCATTTCCTACTCTCCGGATGAGGGGTAGGCGGCAGGTGGTGACAGCCCTGTCCGTCCCTTGTAATCCTCCACATTCGGGTAGGGTGTAGGAGTCTAAATTGTCACACAAGGTTGTTGGTGGACTAGTACTCGGTGGCCTCTCGACCTATCTTACGCTCAGTTCTAGCTCTAACCATGTAATTTGTATGATCATCACTTGTTCTTTGCACGGCTATATTAGAACATGCCGGCTCTATGTAACAACATTTTTTTATTCTTTGTTTTCCTTTTATCCTTGAGGTTGGCTCATATGTGTGTCCACTATCCTTGAAATACTGTTTTTACCCCTATCATGACTATGGTCCACTATGCAAGTATGTAATCTTGTTCATGCTCATGCTAGACTCTTATACCTTGCCCTCCTTTGGAAAAATATAAATAACGATACCATAAATACTTTCTGGTGAAATGGTACAACGATAGATCCGTGCGCTTGCGGATATTTTTTGTAATTGTTAAGAACTATCGTAGTTGGTGTTTCTTGGCGGCATCGCTAAGGTTAACTCAATCTTAGTGATGGTGTTAAGAAATACCAACAGACATTTCTAGCGTCGTTGCTAAGGATGGACTAAAAACCTCCACACTTAGTGATTGTGCTAAGAAATGCCAACAACCATATCAACTCATCTACGGGAAAACCTGTCATCTACCTGTTGAGCTAGAATTCAAGGCTCACTAGGCCATCAAGTGATGTAACATGGATTTTGAAGCTGCAGGAACCAAAAGGAAGATGCAACTCTCTGAGCTTGATGAATGGCATGAAAAAGCATATCACAACGCCAAGATATATAAGGAGAGAACAAAAAGATGGCATGATAAGAGGATCAAGGAGTTCGTCCCGGGAGATATCGTATTACTTTTTAATTCCAGGGTAAAATTATTCGGGCATGAAAAACTTCAGAGCAAATGGGAAGGACCATTCAAAGTTATAAGCACCTCGTCGCATGGAGCGGTAACACTTCAAAATAATGAAGGTATGTTATTCAAGGTAAATGATCATCGTCTCACACTATACCACAACCTAGATTTAGCGTCGTCCGATGGGTCATTATAAGCCGTTTTAACGACCCACGGTCGGTCGTTATAAATCTATAGCGACACTTATATCTGTCATTGATACTGGCGTCGTTATAATCTTTTAACATCAGACCGACTTTTAACGACCGACCGTCTAACGTTATGTAAAAGATATGACGACAGACTTACTGACGCCTTTTATAGACTTATAACAACACATTGTCTGATGATATATATTTATAGCAACCAATTGCCTAACGCTATCCATACAAAAAAAATAACATATAATATCATTTCTTGTTTATATGTTAACCATACAATCAACACTAACCATGTCATACATTCAAACAATACAGTCATGAAACACATATAAACTGGACCAAAGCTCACGAGTTATATTAAAGCCATCATAATATGTCATGCCATTTTACACACAATTCATGGCAAACAAAAGCTAAGATGAAATAAGTTTGGCCAAAATGCTAGACTAGAGATATTCAGTTCCACAACCCATGTCTCATAGTTTGCTTCCACTCTTTGCAAAATGATCCACCTCTAGTAAGTCCAAACAAAAGTTTTCATCTATAGCTAGGATGTCCAAAACGTCGTTATGAGCACTTTGATTCAATCATTGGCTGCAGTCTACTTCCAAATATTTCCTCCCACCACCTGTAAATAAAAGTTGAAATTCATCAAAAAACACAACCTAAAACTTCATAAAAGGCTCATAGTATACAGGTGGCACCAACACCAGCACCGAGCACAAACAGAGCTATGGTTTAACAGGCAGCACAAACAGCAATACTCTGGTTTCAACCCATTACAATTTCAGCTATGACGTCATCTATGGTGCAGTGAGAGGCATCCACACTAAGAGACCTTCAGTCCACTAAAGCTAGTGACACCGACAAATGAAATACACCTGGAATTGGAAGTAAGATGATCTTTAACCAATGATCGACAACTAATATTATATCAACTACATGTACCGACTCTTAATATCGGTGGGCAATGAAAACATGGCAATGGTAAAATAAAAATTAGCTGTACAGGGACTGGGCTTGATTTCTTTTATGTGGAGTCATGAACACTTATTTGTCTAACTAACAAAAAAATGAAATTGCCAAACTGAAACCGTTATGCACATGATGACCGGAAAAAATGTGTCTGATAGCATGCGCACAATAAGCGGGGGGTAGGGAACTGACCTGCATAGCAGAAGTTGATTAGAACAATGGGTTCCCATACTGCTGTATTGCACGATCTGCACTCCAAGGGAGTTCAAGAGTTATGTGTATTCTTCTCTGCAAAATTAATGCAAGCAGTTTGAGCATTATTTTGATAAATTGGCTTCTAGCATAATTGCCACATATGGCTAAAATGGAGCAACATAAGACCTGGTTTGTTGCCCTTCTATCAACATGGAGAGAAACACCAGCTAACCCTGCATCAGATATAATTACAATTAGTTTTTTGCCATCCATAAACTGCCGCTTTCTATGCTGATAATCTAATTATTTCAGCGACATTGTCAAGTCCTCCTAGCTCTCTATGCTCGCTTGGCTCCAGGCTCCAGACTCCAGACAACTCTCTCGGTCTCTCCTACTCCTCACAGCAGAAAAGGCGGCGGCGGCAGCGGCCGGTGCCCCATGCCACAAACTCGCCGGGCAGGAAGAAGGCAGTGCAACGCCCCACATCTCTTCCTCTCCCCTAGGCAGCGGCGCAGCGGCTACAAGGCAGAGAGGCTGCGAGCGGTAGTACACTTGTTTTCAACTAAGCTACACTTGTTTTCAACTAAGCTATAGATTCTCTTGAACTATCCACAGGAAGCAAAACAAACAGGAAAAAATAATCTTAAGCCACAGTAACTGAATGTGGAGTAACTGAAGATCAAACTAAACCACAGCCCACACTGAAGATCAAACTAAGCAGTCCAGACTGAGTAAATTTAAAGGCAACTGCTATACTTCCTACAATAAATCTGGATGACACATTGAAGCTCTGCATGAACTATGTATTCATGTTTGCCAGTTAAGCAAATAAGCAACAACAAATCTGTCCACTAGAATAAACAGAAGCAATAATTAGTAGCAGAAATTAGAAACTTCACCTTGTGCCCAGAACAACCAGAGCGACCAATGCAGTGGATGTAAAGCTCACGGTTATCTGTGAGATCATAATTTATGACAAGTGAAGCCTGAAAATGAAAGAAATTTCAGTAAGCTAATCCACCTAGGCCTAAAAGAAAAGTTTTTTTTTTTATTTTTTGCAAAAAATCGAACTTGGTAGGCATGTATACACTTGTAATTAGATCAGATCCGGATACAACAAAATAGCTTAAGTTAGGGTACGGGTGCTCATCCCAACAGCAAGGAAAGATAAGGGGCCTGCATACCTGGTGGGTGCTCGTCACCGGCGAACTAAGTAATAGATCAGATCCAGATGCAAATAGCCAAATAGCTTGAGTTAGGGTCCCGTGCACGTTGCAACAGCAAGGGAAGAGAGGTGGCGTGCATACCTGGTGGTGGGCGCTCGTTGCAGGTGAAGGACACGACGAGGAACTAGGCACCTGGCGTAGGGCGGGTGCTCGTCTCCTCGGGAGCTGACGACATGGCGGGTGCGAGCTCTGTTGATGACGGCTGGGCGAGCGCTAACGACGATGGCGAGGGCGGGGATGCTGGGGGAGGAGAGGAGGACGAGGCCCGGCCCGCGCCTCGTCTCCTCGGCGATGACGATGGCGACGGGGGCAGGGATGCCGTGGAGCGCAGCAGGAGGGCAGCGTCGCTGGGGGTGGGGAGTGCTGAGTGAGGGAGGGGATAAGCGTTGGGTTCGGAAAAATTTGGTTATGGCCCCGTTCGCTGGTCTGAAACTTGGCTGACAAACACTGTTCTGGTTGAATTGTTGTGAGAGAAAAACACTGTTGGCTGGTTTGGTGAATAGTAAAATAAGAGGGGGATCAGCTGGCTGGCTGGTTCAGACCAGACCAGCGAACAGCCCCTATGTCCGGTCGGCCGCCAAAATATTAGGCGGGAACTAGGTCAGCCAAGCGCGTGCGAGACCAATTATTATGTAGCCACGGTTGGTTGGTCGAAAAACTAAGATATAACGAGAGATTGTCGAACGGTAAAGCGAAATAATAGTAAAAATGAGATATAACGACTGACCGAATGTTATAAATTTTTAACGTCTGACCTTCCAACACTATTTTGGTATTTTTAACGACCACCATGTGACGTTAATGTTGGGCTATGGTATAGTGTCAAGATTTTTCTAAAACCTGAAAACCAACTGAAGATTTGGATGAGGTAAATTTTCTTATTTTTCCATAGATTTACACCACTGCCTTCCTCTTTACGTTTCATAACGCGAGAATATCTTTTTTGGGATTACTTAGGAATTAGAAACCGCCAAGAGAAAACCTCCGTGAAAAGATGACATGTGGGGCTAGCCGGCCAGCCCACCTGTCAGTCCCCTCGCCTCCGGTCAATTCTGTCGTGTATTATAGAACCTTCCCCTCTGCTATCCCGCAGTTTCCGTCGCATTCATTTATCCTTAATTATGAAACCCTAATGGATAAAGATCTTAACCCCTATTGTAAGTTTTTCCCCCTATATAAACGAGACATTGTCTGCCTCCATAGCCATTCCATCAAAGCCTTCCACCTCCAGCAGCACCGAAGCTCTCCACCTCCCTAGTTCCAATGGCCGGTAGAGAGATCGTCCCCTATGAAGTTGAAGAACTTATAACGCTCAACATCATTCCACCGCGAGAAGTAACTCCTGTTCCTTCCAGCCAATCCTACTTCGCCCAAGCCATTCGTCGTCCGGTGATCGCTCCACCGCCGCCGCATCTACTTCTTCAAGACAAGCCACGCCAGCCGGAGGCGTCGAAGATCAAGATCCCGAAGGAGATCAACCTCCTTCCTCCAAGGGTGAACGAGACGCTGACCGAGATAAAGACCAATAAGTTCAGAGATGTCACATGTGCAAAGTACAAGTCGGTCACGCCTCGCTTCAGCATAGATGGAGTTCGTGCTACTCCTGAGCAAATCAAGGTCGTACCGCCGAAGGAGAAGAAGAGCGCGCCACACTCTGTCCCATAGAATGTCGAGAAGCACCAACGGCCGACCGTTGCCATGCTGCCCGACAAGATCAAAACTCTGCAGTTTAGGATAGATAAGGAGCACGTTTATCGCAAGACCCTAGAATATGAGCTTGCGATCTTAAGTCGCTATGTTGTCAACAAAGAGAAGTATGAGAGTTTAAAGCTAGGTTGTGGACCGCTAGGGCGCGTTTAGGTCAACGTTTAAGTCGTTTGCTTAGCTTAGAAGTTAGAGTAATTGAAGTTTGTGCTAGCCAGTTGAAAGTTTGTGTTTAGGTTGGATTGTGTAATAAAGTGCCCTATCAATAAATTTTGTTATTACTATCTGCTCTCTATTTCTTCTATATATGTGTTTTGTCTCCACATGTTGTGCATAAAGGAAAACAAGAAACAAGTGTGGGGGAAGCACATCGCGACAACAAAACAAGATCCGAGAGCGAAAATTGCAAAATTCAGAAAATAATGAACCAAGGACCATGTGCAATGAAGCGGGCCTCGAGCAGCCCCTGGAGCTGGCCACCCGGCCTCCTACATGGGCCGACCAGCCCATCCTAGTGCCGCCTCACCTCGCGCTTCGTCCACGATCAGGTTTGCGGCCCGTATGTTCTATTTTCACATGTTTCGCTTTCCGTTTCGAACCGAATTGGAAATCCTATGATAAACAACTTTAAAACCCGAGGAAAGATTATTTTAGTCATACTAAAGGATAGATTCACATAATACTTTTCCTGAAAGTCTTGCTACTGTTGGGAACTTATTTATAGGGACCCCGTGTTACTTAAGTTGTTATGGAATGAGATACAGTAGAATAATAAGAACTTGATTCCTGATGTCTCGTTATTGGAGAATTTTATTTCAAAAAGTAAAAAGAATAGCTACACCTCTCCTTTATGGTAAGCAATGTCCTACCAGAGCCATACATGATATGATAGATTAGGAAACCTTCTACATATACTACTTGTCATTGTATTGAGTTTGGTCAAACCTTGTGACCCCTGCTGAGAAATTTATCATACTCCCAAGATCAAGATCACATACACTCCACATATATCCGTTGCTCCTACACTGGGAGTATGCAACAACATGTTTGCCATTCACCCAAAAATGTTCTACTCCTGCATTGGGAATAGGCTCAAAAATATATTTGTTAGGATAAATGCTCCAAGTTCTTGTAAATGTCTCTCTTGAAAAGTTTCAATTACAGAAAAGAGGCATGGGCCATGCAAAAGTTATTCATGAAAGAAAGAAAAAGTATTGAATAAAATGGACAAGTGTCCGAGATATTGAAAACAATGGGTACTCAAATGCCCGCCATGAAAAAAGAAAGAAAGGAAGAGATGAATAAGATAGCCCATGTTTCCTTGCAACAGTGTTTTCAAGGTTTCAACAAGAGAGATAAGTTTCAAGGAGCATAATAGAATTAGGTTAGCCACAATATACATATCCACACACATGCATATTTTAATCTAAGAGTATGACATTTTTCTTCTTGATCCTTGTTTTGACTTTAGAATATATGCAGTACAAGTATGTTCTCATATTTATCCCTACCTAAGCTCCACATAAGCTTTTTAGAAGTAGGTAAAAAGAAGGCAAGAACATCAATGCCTTGGTAAGGATCCTAAAATACTACATACACTAGTGATTTGAGAGTACTACAAAAGGAGAAGGTAAGCTATGTTTTGTTTTTCAAAAATCTTAAAATGTTTCTCCAATTGACTTGACTAAGGAAGATGGTGATCTGTTTCAAGCTGTTCCATTCTTCAACCATCCAAAGTTTTATGGTAGACACTTTAAATCCTGCAGTGCATGTATGACTGGGAATGGTTTTATGGTGATTTCTTGTCCCAAGGTTATGTCTAAAGTAATCTATCCTTTTATCGGGAACGAGTAAAAGCCTAAATGTGGGGGAGTTTGTTGACGGTAATTAACATTCATCATAAACCATCAATATACCTTGCATAAATGACTAAAATGGATCACCAACATAGACTTAGGGGTTTAAACTGACAATTTTCATTAGTTTTGGTGAATCTGTGTTTTCAGCAGGATTTAATCAGAAAACCGCCAAGGAGGACCTATTCGTCAAAGAAAATCACATTTATCCACGAGCGATACCTACGTGGGAAGACTCTAGAAGACTCTAGAAGACAAATCACCGAAACAGGGCATGAGCCACTGACATGTGGGGTCGGGCACCCCACTGTCAGGCCGACGGGCCTATGGGCCCCTCCTGTTAGCCTCCCGTTGCTTCCACCGCCTTGGGGTTTTCATCTACGCCGTCCTTTTCAGTCAGTTTGATCCGAGGGTCCAGGATGCTTGAAGGCCCCTATATATAACTGCTTATACCCCCCTCTCCAGGGCATGAGGCATTTGATCCTGAGAGCCTGGGGGCTAGAAACCCTAGTTCATATTTCCACCAGGATCAGAGCTAGCAATCAAGAGAAGATTAGTTCTTAATAGGATCTAGTCTTGTATTAGGGATAGAGAGAGTGTGAGGGAAGAGTTTGCAAGGAGTCATGGCCTGTCAGTGCTCTCTCTATGGCTTGTACCCTAGCAGAATTAATTTCTTCTTGAGCTTGCTTCTGAGATTCTCTGGTAATCAACTTCTAATTCAAATAAGCATCTTGTTCATATTGTTCTTCAGGTTTGCAACTCTCTTTTGAGTACTTTAATCCTTGTAGCTCCTGAGTTAAAGTAGTATTCGTAGTGTAAGCATGGTGCTTAGACTCGGTTACTCATGGATATACCCTACTTTTCGAATCGGTGGTAGCTCATGAGGGTGACTCTTATAGCCTCATTGAATCCTTTGTAGTCCACCTCCTGTTTATAGGCCTAGCTGGACCTTGTTGCTATAGGAAACATACTCTGCCTGTATTTTCTTTAGTAATATCCCCAAAATTGAACAATAGAAGACATAGCTTACCGAGGTTAGAGCTAGAAGACCTTAGTGATCTTCTTTTATACTCCTGTGTATCTAAGCCTTGTTGTGAAGTTGGGTTAAGTTAGATTTAGTTATTCTCATACACATTTCCTTGAGTTTAATATAAAACTGGGATACTTCTGGTGAAGTGCTTGTCAACAAAAGATGCTCGGCAGTCCTCCGAGGGGTATCCCACAAAGGTAGATTGATCGGCAGAGGTGCGTGTAATCAAGAACAAGAAGGCAACAGAGACATAAGAGTTAGACAGGTTCGGACCATCTGCATGACATAATACCCTACTCCTGTGGTCTGTTGGTTTGTATTGGCTATCGTATAATATTGCGTGTGTTTTGAGGGGGGTCCTTGCCCGCCTTATATAGTCTGGGGGGCAGGGTTATAAGTTAGTTAGATCTAGGAGATAACCGGAAGTAATAATAGATTACAGGGATCATGGAATTGTAACATATCCTAACAGATTACGCCGTATCTTCAGGATATCTTCTCGGTGTCTTGCGGGGCGCGCCGAGCAGCGCCATGCTCCACAAGGCTTCGTCGTGTGGGCTAGACCACCCCTAGGGGCGCAGCCCATGTAGTTTGCCGTGGGTATCAGGGGTCGTACCCCCCATAGCTAGTCACCGAGCGCCTTGTATATGCTGTGCAACGCCGTCTTGAGCTTATCCAAGCAGGTGTAAACAAAGCCAAGTAGTCAGACTAATAGTCCGACCACTCTAATGAGTCGTCGAGCATTTGTGGACCGTCGCCGAGTAGAGTATCCCAAGTAAGG